TATTTGGATATTTTCAGTCTATTTCTCTAATGGATCACATTTTGATTTTTGTGTTCTAAAACAGTAGTTATTCTTCTCAATTTTGTCTGATCTGAAAATCTGATCAGCATTTCTTCTGCCTCTTCAGAATGACTGAGAACGTTACCAAAAAAAACCCAAAAAAACCCCTGAAGGGCACAATACCCCAGACCAATATCTCTTTGCAGTTTAATGGTGAATTATAAAAGAGCATTCTTTGAATATAATTTTTAAACCAGCTAAGTATCTATTTAATTGTCATCTAGCCCACAATTAATAATTTGGTAATCAGAATGCCAAGTCTAATGGAATTAATTTATTAAATGCTTTATATTTATATTTATGGCATTCCCATATTCTATTAAGGCATCCATTCCCTCTCCACAATAGAGATTAGTTTAGCCATACTTGTTCTTCACCATTCTATTCTGACAAATGGTAAATATTATACTGTTTTCTGCTTTTTCAATAGCCAAAATGTTGAAAAACAAAGCTGAAACAAGATGGTTTTTTTATTCTGACGCTTAGAGATCCCTATTACTGTAATTGCGGTCTGTTTAGATTATCTGACCAATATTTTCTAAGTCCTATGTCAGGCAGTTATTATGTTAGTCAAATTCAAATTTGGATAGTACGATGGGAGGCAAATAAAAATAAAATATAATAAAATAATAAAATAAAGCAGCCTCGCCCAAAGCATGGCTCAGTAGCTTTAAAAAGTAGAAATTGCTTGTTAATCACTTTTTGAATATTAGGTACTTTCATAAAAGCAAGTTTTACTACACTGCATGAGTTATCTTCAATCTTTAATGAAAGAAATTTCATACAAAGTTTAACAACTTAAAAATATGGTTTGTCACACAATCACCCAGATGTTTCGACTGGATTTGGCATTCTTATCCTTCTATCAAGTCCTTTTCAAGGACCTGGGAAAGGCAGATGTTGTTCTATGATGGTGCTAAAGGTATCATTGCAGGATGTAAGCTGTTCCAAGTAAAGCTGCCTTTGGCAATTGACTGATGGTGATTTTATCAGTGTCAATGGTTCACTGGGTGCTCCAGATATTTTGGGATGGCACCCAAGGTGGCTATTACGATTGGTATTATCTTTGCTTTCTCTCGTCATAGTCATCCTACTTTCCTTTGCAAATCTTTGTATTTTGTGATTTTCTCCAGTTCTTACTCTTCTCTTCTGCTGTCTCCAGGTACTGCCATGTCCACTATCCAGACTTATTTTTTTGTATTTCTTATTGACAATTGTTAGGTCTGGGGTGTTATGTGGCAACTGCTTGTCTGAATTCTAAAATCCTAGAGCACTTTAGTTTCTTCGTTTTCTATTACTTTGTCTATTTGTGGCTCCAACTGTTCTTATTATTATGGTTGTTTATCACTATGGTTCATCACATGTTTAGATGTGATGAACCATAGTTGTTTATCACTATGGTTCGTCAGATGTTTAGATTGGACTGGCCATTTTTATCCACCTATCAAATCCTTCCCTGGGATTAGCAGATATTATTGTTTCATCGTGTTAAAAGTATCATCACAGGATCTAAGCTGTTCCAAATAAAGCTGCCTTTTGCGACTGACTGATGGTGATTTCAATGGCATTCAAGTGGTGCTCCAACTGGGATAGGCAGATGTGGATGTTTGAGGGCGTTACAGATATGACGCAGGATGTAAACTGTGCCGAGTAAAACTGCCTTTTGCCAACTGACTGATAGTAAATTTATCAATACCAATGATGTTCAAGTGGTGCTCTAATTTTTTGGGGATTGCACCCAAGGGGCCTATTACTATTGGTACTACCTTTGCTTATTTTGGAATAAACACAAATAAGGTGATTAAAATATTGATTTTTAAAAGTTATAAATGGACTAAGAGCCCAAATGGACTTGAAATAAGATTTTGGAATTAATAATCAGAATCCTTCTCATGGAAAAATGCTGTTGTTTTTAATATTTAATAATATATATATATATGGGATTGTGAAGGTTGGGCACTAGAGGGAACCAGAAGGAATTAAAGATTACTATTAATTGAGAAAAGCACCTAAATTTGATTTATTAATATAGAACAAAGCAAATGTTTTTATGAACAATGGAACCAGAAGTTAATTTTAAAAATGTCTGCCATTATAGACAGATTGTGTTTGGAAGATTATATGGAAGAGAAGGAAACCTCATGAGAAGATTGAGTGTGATTTGAAAGTGGGTTTAAAAATGATGGGCTATGGGAATGCTATGGAAGGAGATCATATACAGAATATACCAATGGCTGATATCTTACTAAACCAAAATACTGACCTGCATAACTTTCTTATACTGGATTTACAAGAGAAAGTTGTTACAGTTTCGAAGAATATTGTGAGAAAAGAAAAAAATGAGAAGACATCACATTCTAGGACATTAGAAAAGATATGAGAGAACAGAATATTTGATAAATTTTAAGAGAAAGTGATGTCACTAATGTTACTTATACTTGTTATAAAGGATAATTTTTTTTCTTTCATATACTTTTTGTTATTTTTATTCTTTTAGTTTGTACTGGTTCTTATCTTTTTAATTATAATATTCAATACAACTACTATGAAACAGAGGATCTTAGTATAGTTCTGTAACCTGATATTGTATTACGAAACTGTATCACTAGCAATATATCATTCAAGCTTTTCACATATTCTTCGTGCTTCTAGAGTATGCATTTCTGTTTTAACTGTATGCAAAGAATAAAGAACTTTAGACATGTTTTCAGGTATCAACATCAGATAAATAATTCCCTGGATTAGCCACTTTCCCAATTTGAGAGATAGAGACAATACTTGCCAATCACCAGTCATGTCAATTCAATGATTTTCCAATATGCATGTGATTTAAGTAGCTCTGGCGATTTAAACACATTGACAGTACATAGTTCCTGACCATGATTCTATCAATCTCAAGCTTTAACTCTGTTCATTATTTTGCTTTTTGCCACTTCCTACCGGAATACATACATACATACATACATACATACATACATACATACATACATTCTTCTTGGAGAGGACTAAAGAACTGGGAAACTTTGTCTTTTCTTTGTTGTTAGAATTTTGCCACCTTGTCTCAGCAACATTTCTAGTAATTTGAATGTATCTCTCTTAAATATTGTTCTTAGTATCCTTTAATGATCTCATATAATTCTGAACTTTAGCTTCCTGATATTAGATTTATAGTTCTAGACTACCTGCACATGCTTTTCTTTCATTACCTTCCCTCTCACATTGTTACGCTTTTATAGTCCCCTTTTCATTATGCTTTTTGTGTAACCATAGTGGCTTCTTTTGATGTTTTCCATTTTTTTCCCTTTACTGAAATTGTTTGATTGATACCTTCTGGTCTTCCTTTTTAGGAACTCTCACGTATCTTAAGCTCTTTTTCTCATTATTTTCTCCTATTTGTTGATCAGCTATGAATACCACAGGCCCTATCAACTAACTAGCTTTATAAGAAACAGAAAATTAGATCTCACATCCCAATGTACAAAAGACATATCTAATAATTTTCCTCTTGGATATTTTAGTAAATAGTACAGATTGGAAGACCAAAGTACAATCAAAATTCATTGTCAAGAGTTTTATGTAATAGAAAAGGCATCAGAAACATCCCACAGATCTGAGCTGTAAGATTCCTTTTCTTGAACACAGCACTGACTTAAAGCATCTTACTTTCCATCTATATTCCTACAGAATATGTATTTGATCCATAACAAATTCTACTGCCTCATCCCAACTAAGAACCAGTTTGGTCTAGCGGCTAAGATGCTGAACTAGGAACAGGAATCTAACTTCTAGTTCTAACCCTAGGCGTGGAGAATAGTTGGGTGACCTTGGGCCAGTCACTCTCTTAATCAAGGAAGGATGCAATGGTACATCACTCCTGACAATTTCACCTAGTTCTTCTAGTTTCTAGAAAACTGACTGACTCAAGACAAAGTCAGTGAGAAAAATCACCCTACATCACCCACACAAATACTTCTACCAGCAATGATGAAATTAGCATCAGCTATTAACGTACAGCCTGCCACTTCTACTCACCTTTTCCTCGGGGAACCTGAGACCTACTACATGTCGGATTGGAAATGTGGGTAGACCCAGTGGTGACTGCTTCTCTCCCCTTCCCATTTTTAGGCTGCATATCCCATCTAGCCCCTGGCACTGTCAGCGGTACTTATCCTAAAACAGTGGTTCTCAACCTTTTTAATGTCGCGACCCCAACCGGTCGTAAGTCGAGGACTAAACCGGTCGTAAGTCGAGGACTAAACCGGTCGTAAGTCGAGGACTTAAACCGGTCGTAAGTCGAGGACTAAACCAGTCGTAAGTCGAGGACTAAACCGGTCATAAGTCGAGGACTAAACCGGTCGTAAGTCGAGGATTACCCAACCGGTCATAAGTCGAGGACTTTCCCTGCCCGGGAGCGCAGCGCATGCGTGGTTCCGCCCCCTGCGCCGGTCGAGGCGTAGCTGGCAAGCGGCAGAGACGGAGCAGGCCGACCACCAGCTGGCCCAGCCCAAGGGAGGTAAGGCACCCGCCGCAAAAGGGGAAAAAATGGCGGACAAAAAAAATGGCGGACAGCCTTGCTTGGCGACCCCCGTGAAATGGTCGATCGACCCCAAATGGGGTCCCGACCCACAGGTTGAGAACCACTGTCCTAAAACATCTGGACAGCACCAAATTGTCTATACCAGGGGCAGTCAACCTCGGCTCTTTTATGACTCGTGGACTTCAATTCCCAGAATTCCTGAGCCAGCTAAGCTGGCTCAGGAATTCTGGGAATTGAAGTCCACGAGTCATAAAAAGAGCCAAGGTTGACTACCCCTGGTCTATACCCTCTATCCACAACAATTGAGAAGAAGCCCGTCTCCCTTTCCCTCTGCTACCCACCAATCACCCTCTACCACCTCCGCCCCCGCTAAACCCACCGAGCGCGCCTCCCCGGCCTTTACCCGTGAGATGCCGAAGCGATGTGCCGTGAGCCCATAGGCTCAGCACCTGCTGGACCGACAAGTTTATCATGTGGTCCCCCGCCTCCGCCTTCATGGTCGCGGCGGGGGAGACGACCGGGCCGGTTCTGTCGCTGCTGGGCCGCCGCCTCGGGAGTCGCGCCCGGGTTGGGCAGCAGCCTCGGGAAGCGGGAGGCTGAGGCCGGGCTCCCACGGGGCCTCTAGGGGCGCGGGTGGGGTGAGCTCCCCCCGGCGGGGGAGACATCGAGGACGGCAGTTGGACAAACAAGGCGGCGGCGGGGGGCGCTCGCTCGCTCTCCGCCTCCCACCGCTGCTGCTCGTGGTGGGCGCCGCGGCCCACCTAAGGCTGGCAAGCGCACAGAGCCCGGTGGTCTGGGGCTGTGGAGGGAAAAGGAGGCGGAGGTAGGCGCCGGGCAGCCGCGGCAGCAATGGCCATCACCGCCCCCTTGCGAAGCCGCCTCCTCATGCCCCCCCCTCTCAGTAGCTCGCGCCGACCGCGAGGGAAGTGGGGGGGGAGGAGGAGGAGGAGGAGGTGGAGAAGACGACCGCGAGACGCAGCCGGCGAGCAACCGCCTCCCCTTCACGATGGCCGGCCCGCTGCCGGACCAACCGCTGCTTCCTGGCAAGATTGCGCGCGTGGCCCCACCTCCAATCAGTCACCTTCCCCCGGCGCGAGGCGGGATGGCGGGCGCGTGCATAAGCGCACGCGCGCGACCGACCCATAAAACAGACGCCGCTCAAGCAGCCCCCCCTCCCCTTCTCCCCCCCCCCACCCGATGGCTGGTTGTAAGGCAGTGTTTCTCAACCTTGACCATTTTAAGGCATGTGGACTTCAACTCCCAGAATTCCACAGCCAGCATTGCTGGCTGTGGAATTCTGGGAGTTGAAGTCCACATGCCTTAAAATGGTCAAGGTTGAGAAACACTGTAAATGTAAGGGAAGATGCGATGCTCGTTCGCGAGGCGAAGCTGAGCGGGGGGGGGAGCTGCTGGAGTGGTGGAAAATTTAGGATAGGACAAGGGTCGTTCACCCAAGCTTTCCGCAGATTTCAGCAGGGCGAAAAGAGCCCAAATGCGGTCTGCTGTCTTTCCCGTTTAAGGGAAACAAGGGATGTGCGTCTCTTACAATTGCCAATACTGCTTTAATAAAGAACGATTGTAGCTCAGGTTTGAAATTAGGGATCCTTGATGCTCTCTCTAAGCTTGCTTGTTTTCTTGCAGACGTTTCGTTGCTACTGATGATGTTACCTAGTTTGGATAATGAAACGTCTGCAAAAACAACAACAACAACAACCAAGCTCAGAGAGCACCAAGGACCCCTGACTACTGCTTTGTTTCCATGTTCTCTGATATGGCTCCTTAGTTCGTGTGGGGTTCTGCTTAAGCAGATCATCACCTAAACCAGTGGTTCTCAACCTTTTTAATGCCGCGACCCCAACCGGTCGTAAGTCGAGGACTAAACCGGTCGTAAGTCGAGGACTAAACCGGTCGTAAGTCGAGGACTAAACCGGTCGTAAGTTGAGGACTACCCAACCGGTCGTAAGTCAAGGACTTTCCCTGCCCGGGAGCGCCGCGCATGCGTGGTTCCGCCCCCTGCGCCGGCCGAGGCGTAGCTGGCAAGCGGCAGAGACGGAGCAGGCCGACCACCAGCTGGCCCAGCCCAAGGGAGGTAAGGCACCCGCCAGAAAAGGGGAAAAAATGGTGGACAAAAAAATGGCGGACAAAAAAAATGGCGGACAGCCTTGCTTGGCGACCCCCGTGAAATGGCCGATCGACCCCAAATGGGGTCCCGACCCACAGGTTGAGAACCACTGACCTAAACAAATAGCAAAAAATTCTCTAGTTCACCATAGAGAATTTAACAAACTGAGGGAAATGGAGACATTAATAGATATAGGCAGGCAGGCTAGCAGATGCTTGGGGAAATCATGGGTAATGTGACAATGTGCCTTCTGTAGAGGATTTCAAATTCTTAGTCTTGCCTTCCCCAGGAAGATTGCAAGCATCTTAGAAGAAGGCCACAATATTGTTTTTTTTAAAATAACAGGCCTATGCAGACAAAATGGAAGGACTGTAAAATTGTGTTTGCCATGTAGCCATTGAAGCCAGCTGCAGAGATGCCAGGCAAAGTAAGAGTATGTTTTGACCGAACTCACATTTTATTATCCAGACAAAGCAGGAGTGATGTTGAATTCACTCTGGGCTTTACTCCTCAGGCTTCCAGATCAAATTTTAAGTAGGAAATTGTGGCACTGTTGACGTTAAAGGACCTACACTGTGTAGATTACATAGTAATTATTAGAATTATTATTAGTATTATTAGTGGCATGTTTATTCACTGTTCAATTCTAACTCTAGTTAACTCTTGTTTTATTAATAGAGATGGGGCGGGGTTTATCATTTTACGAAGTTATGATTCTGCCAAATTTGAGAACCAGAATTATGCCACACTTGATATCCAATACCTTGTGTACAGGGAACCTGAGCACAGGTAAGTACATTGTATGTGTGTGGTCAGTATTGGTAATATTTTATTTGGGAAATCCATATGTAAGTGTGTTGCTCTCCCCAGAGCTGTATAGATTAGCTAGATATGAAAAGGTTTTCCCCTTTGATTTGAAGAAGTGACTGAATACTAACATACTGAACCAAATTGTATTATGGCTTAGCATGAAATCTGAACAAAATAAACCATGGTTACAAAACATGTACCAGGCTGAGTTTGTGTCAACTCTGTGCCCAACAATGCATAGCATTAAAACCCTTATATATCAAAGTATCCAAAATTCTTTTAACATTATATGGAATCTAGAGCAGGTTTACTACAAAATTCATTTTTACATTCATTCTGCGAAGCATAGAGGGAATGAGTAATGAGCAGGTGGAAATTGTGGGTAGGGGGATCATTGTGCAATTATAAGACTCCTGAAGTCACCTACGTGTGAGCTGGATGGTTATATAAATTTGTTTACTAAATAAACTATGTTGTGTTGATTCATAGACGTACACTCAGTCATTCCTGTATGGATTACTGTAACTTGCTCTGCATGAAGTTGCTCCTGAAGAACAAAATTCAGTGGTACAGACAGTGATATATGCATCTAGATCACCACACATTACACTTCTCTTTCCCAAGCTACCAGTTTGCTTCTAGGTCTGACTGATGGTGCTGGTAAATGAACTGTAAAGTTTTACATGGCATGGAGCTGGGATATGTGAGAGATCGCCAGTGGGATGGGTAGATGTGATTTCATAATCACATCTACCCATCTTATCAGATACAGCAGAAAGGTCATGTTGGCCATCCACTAAGCTATGCTATCTGACAGGACGCAGGAGGAGATCTTTTCTGCTGTGGCACCCATCTTTTGGAACCTCATTTGCCCTGAGATAAAGATTGGATCCAACCATGCTGGCCTTCTGGAAGGGCCTGAAGACATAGCTCTGCCATCTGGCCTGGAGATCTGGTAACATGGAGTTGGAGCCTGTGAAATGGCTGTGTTGCTAGGGAAATTAAGTCACTCTCTTGTGGATTACAAGATAGCATTACAAAGACAGCACAGCATTCCAAAAGCAGCACAGTGGTCAGGGAGGCAACTGTAGTAAACGTTCAATGAAGAGGCTGTCTTGAAACAAAGCAAAGCAGTGGGGTGCTTCTGCTTTGGCCATGGTGGCTGGGCGCAAAACGTGAAAAGTTGGTGTGGGCAACCAACTTGGGAGAGAAGGTAGTTGAGCAAACGAATGTTTTCTGGGGCATCGTGGGTGCTGTAGCTTGGTGCCCTCTTTGTGGAGCCACGTGTAGGAAACTGGAGAAGTTGAAGTACCTGGGGTAACATAGTGACAACGAGCTTGAAAAGGAAAGAGCAAAAAGGCATCAAAGCACTTCTGTTCTGGTTGTGGCAATTGGGTATAAAACATGAAAGGTTGATGTGTTGACGCTTACAGGGGTGGGTGAAGCTTTCCAGGATGTGGCAAGCGGCCCCAGAGCCATATGGTTCCAGGGCTGCTTGTTGCCTCACAAGGCAGGATGTGGAGTAGCCAAAGGGCAAAGATTGGGAGGCAATAGGCCAGTGGTGGCGAACCTATGGCACGGGTGCCAAAGGCGGCACTCGGAGCCCTCTCTGTGGGCACACGCACCATCTCCCCATCCCTGCCTCCTCCCACAGCCCCCTCCTCACCAACAGCCCCCCAGAGGAGAGTCACCCCGGGCGCAGCCTACACAAAGCAGCGCAGCCAAGGACATGGTAGCCAGGCAGCGGGGACAAGACTCTGCCCTTGTGCCCTGTCGCCCGCAGATGATGCTGTGGGGCATGGGCGGAGGGCGTGGCCGCCATGGCGCTGCTGGGCTGTCTGGGTGATCTGTGGCGGGCTTTGGAGGTGGGTGGCCCAGTGAGCAGGGCAGAGCAGGGACAGGGTGGGGGGTGGTTTTTGGGCACTCGGTCTCTAAAAGGTTCGCCATCACTGCAATAGGCAGATGGGGGAAGTTGTAGACTGGGAAAGGCCATGCTCAGAATGGCTTGGATTGGGGTGAATAGCTCCTTAATGATGATTCTTGGTTAAAGACTGCAACTGTGAAGGCAAGAATTTCCCATTATAACTTCAGCAGTCACATCACATTTCGCTTTGCAACTGTACCAACTTATGACAGCACTACCTGTCCCAATTATGGTTGTAAGTTGAAGGTAGTCTGTAATCAGGGGTTTGTGAAAGGCAGAGCTATGTAGCTAATGGTCCCAGCGAGGCACAAATAATAAACAAAGAATTCCCAAACCAAAAGCAGGGAGAAGGTAAATTGCATTAATTATTAGAATTGGGAATAGGTTGTTAAAATGTTTTGACTGTAACAAAAATGTTGCATCACACTTTGCTTTTCATTGAAGGTACATTATATACTCGGTTAAAGAAAGATTCCTTTAAAAAGATTTCTGTTCTGGAACAGAACTTACTGAAATATTCATAAAATATGAGTATTTGGCTCATGTAGTTTTATGTACAGACTATTCAGTTTCACAAATACTTTGAGTATTGCCACAGGGAACAGAATTGTGCCTAATGGAAGAGGAAGGATTGTTCTTAC